TTCTGCATCTCAGTAAGTAAAATGAATTTGTTTTTTATACTCAACTTCCCTACTAGCCAGGACTCTTTCCATCACCCAATACTGCTAGACAGCTTTTCCTTTTGAATTCACACTTATGGACGGCTATGGCGTTGCTGGGACTCACGATCTCCTGAGGAGTTGACTGCTTAGTCCTTTGGAGCACTCAGGAACACATGAAGCAATGTAAATTCTCAACATCAGGAGATTGTGAGTTTGATTCCCAACAATACCATAGTGGTCCACATCTGGAAGTCAAAGAGGAAAATATGCTGGAAGGCACTGTGAGATAGAATGAGTGCAAGCTAGTGGAGAAATTGAGTAAAAAAAACACAGTTTTTTTTTATCTAACTGAGATGGAGACCTAGAAACAGTAGCTGAGAGAATTTTTGACTCAACTAAGAAGTTTGAGTTTGAGCTCTGGTGTCCTCAAGTTGAGTCAACTCAAGAAAAGCCATGTAATCAGTTACTATATCATTTTAAGTTGAGCTAACCTCTCATTTTTTACAGTGTGCATTGGGATCCATAGATCTATACTGTCTCTTAAATCCTACAGCAAGAGACTATAAATTGTTCTCCTAACCTCAGCAAATTCTCTTAAATGTTAATACCTTCAGTTTTGTCATGTACATCAACAATAAAATCTCGCGAGGTGAAATCTCGAGGTGAACTCAAACTTACTTATGGATGGAGCATTTAGGACAGTGCTTAGTGCTGAGATTAGGATATAATTTGAGACTTATTTGCTTACAGCCCCATGGAAGCACTTTTGATTGGAAGGCTCTTTTGAGGAGACATATATTACAATGCTATACTTATAAGAAAGTAATAAAACAGCAAAACAGTTTGAATTAGAGCAGAAGATAAGTGTTGTGGAACCAACCTTATTCTATCACAAAAAGTGGAATTGTCTCTTTTCAGAGCCATTGGCCATAACAGATCAAAATGTAGTGCTAAGAACCTCTATAAAAGATATTAATGAGTATTTTTTTTATTTCTATACAAACCTTTACAGCACTGAATCACTGGCAAGGGAGGTAGAGATTAAGGCATTTTTTTGATAAATAAATTTATCTATTTTAACAATATAACAAAGAGAAGCTCTTAACAAAGTTATGTCTGATATTGAAATAGAAGATGTCATACACTTAACTGCTGGCAAGGCATCCAGCCCAGTTGAGTTGAGACCATTACTTGTCCAGCGTGGATGCAAAATCTTTTTTAAAATGTTTTTCTTCCCACTGCCTTATTTCAGACATTATTCTCTCTAATCCTTAAAAAGGGTAAAGACCAAAAAATTGTCAAAGGTATAGGCCAGTCTTTTTAATTGTCATGCAAATAATTTAGCAAAGAGATTAGATGAAGTGGTAGTGCCACGAGTTCAGTAAAGGCTAGCTTTTTTTGTCTTCTGTAGACAACATTAGGAAATTCATTGATATTATGAGTTACGTGTGGAATTAGCAGGAGCCCATAGCTGCCCTGTCACTGGATACTTAAAAGGTTGAGTTGTTTATTCCTGAGGCTAAAGCCCTTTGGATTTTGGTGATTTGTTGCAACGGTTGCCAGAAGCTGATTCTTTTCAGCATACTTTCATCTGGCATGTGGAACATGCAAAGGGGGCCCCCTGTCCAAGCTCTCATTTGCCCTGGCATTATAGCCACTTGCAGAGTTTCTTGGAATCAAGATTGGTTCAGTAACTCACAAATGATTTCTTTTTTCCGATGATATTTTAATATTTGTATCAAACTGAAAAAACTAGTCTAAATGCCATAAAATAGTCTTTCATTTCCATTATCTATGGCCCCAGAAAGGAATAAAATATCTGGGTGTTATATTTCCCCCAAGTTGTCAGATTTGAGTCAGTATGGAATCCCTCCCTGCCCGCTATAAATAAGTTATCGGCAAGTGGTCGCCCACTTTACCTTTTTGCTATGAGGAAAGGCCAGTGTTGTTAGGGTGACTAATAATTATGTAATCATAATATAATTGATGTAATTATGATAAATACTCAAATTCTGTCCCTTTGAAAGATTTTCATGAATTTCAGAAATTATGTAATTTGTTTTTGTGGAATGACAAACATTCTTGTTTAATTTTATATGCATTATAATAACCAGTAGATCAGGACGGGGTAGATATTCCTAATCTTTTGCTGTATCACTGTGCTTTCTGTGTAAGACACCTGTCCCAGTGGTCACTCCCTTTGAAAAAGGCCTCATCCTGGTCAAGCATAGAGAGCTGTGAATGCAGTGCCCTACTTGTTATTAATTGTCTCCTTTCTGTGCTTATCCAGAAGAATTTGAGTCACCTCATATCACATCTAGTAAATATGGGGCAGACTGTCAAGGCTAGGTGGTTTTAATTCTAAATTATGTGTTAGCAAGTTTTTAAAGTTGGAGGGAATGGTTGCAGTATGGCTTTAGAGCAGCATGTACACTCTCTGAAATCCTTTGAGAGTTTATGTCAGAAATATGGATTGCCCTCTACTCAGATTTGAAAGTATTTCCAAATCTCCAGTGTTTTGCCTGTGGGTTGGATGCTGGCCCCCTGCAGGCAAAGTATCAGGAATAACATTTGGGCTTGACCATGAAGCAGGCAAGTATTATTGCCTTTAACTACAGAGGTCTATCGAGTCATCTGTAATAAAATCATATTGTGAAAAAGATTTAAATGTTTCCTTACTAATGAGGTATGGCATATACTAAAGACATCCAAAATTATATCCAGGGAAATTAGAACTAGACTAATTTGTTTCAATTGAACTCTCTCAAAGCTAGGATTGTTGACTGTTGGAGGTGCCCTCAGGAGGGCACACTAGTTCACTTCTTGTAAGACTGCCCTGCAACTCGGGATTTAATGAAAATATAGAAACAACAGTTGATGTACAGTACCTCTGATGGCCAAGCCTATACCTATATGTGTTTTGTGATCTCGATTGCCTGTCTGGTTATGATTCTAGGTGGATCCAGACAGCTCTCATGGTAGGTAGGAAACCTCAAGTCCCTACCACATGTGAATGGTACCAGCTTGTAGACCAAGTGGCGTCCTCTGAGAATTTTCTTTCAGGCTATAAATAAACCCATTGCAAAGTTGGTTTGAAAAGATATAAACATATGTATTATTTCTTTACTGTCAGTTCTACAAGGTAGACTGATAACCTAGAAAGACAACCAACTATCCTGGCAAGCACACCATAGCAGTCTAGTTTTCATGCTCTTGTGCCTGCCTACTGGAGATTTTTGTTTGTCAATAACAACATCAGAGCCCAATATACTCTTTGGCTGTTGTAGCCCATTTTTGATACAGTCCAATATGTGGTGCATTCTGAAGTGAGATTCTGTACACTAGTTTTGAATTTGAATGTGATTGATCTGGTGGTGCCCCATTTCTTTGCTTGCATGATTCTTACCATTCTCCTTTGAGCCCTCTGATCCACAAGATGTTTTTATCCACAGGATTGCCAGTCTCTTGTAGTTTTTGGCTTTTTGCTCTATTTTTGATCAGCAGTTGTGCATGAATATCCTAGTACAAAAACCATTGGATGAATCTAGAACTGGCTACCTGGTAAAGAACCACTGCTAGAGCACTGAAACCTTTACAGAGGGTTGTCCAGGTTCTCTAACTTTAGATAAAGCCCAAAACATATGTAGTGCCCATACTGTAGCAACAGTAAATAAAGCCTGGCCCACTCCAATCATTTCCTGACATACCTTTTTAAGTCATATAATCCTAAACATGCTTTTTCAACCCATAGTTGCATACCTCTTTTCAGGTCTACGGATTCTGGCCCTGTGCTGGATGCTGAACCTTTACCATAAATGTCAAGTCAAAGTTTATTTATATAGCACTTTTTACAACAGCCGTTGTCACAAAGCTGCTTTATAGAAAAATCAGGGTCCAAGCCCCCATGAGCAAGCCAATGGCGACAGTGGCAATGAAAAACAAGAAGCAAATGAAGAAGAAGCAAGAGGAAGAAGCCTTGAGAGGAACCAAAACTCAAAAGGGGAACCCATCCTCCTCTGGCCGATACCAGACAGCAAAACAATTATACAAGAGCAATATGAAGAGAGAATAAGATTTTCTCCTTAGTAGGTGAAGCAATGGCTGTGATTAAATAGTTCAAGTCTGTGCAACAGCAGTGTCATCAGGAGGGTCAGTGGCATGCAGGTGAGGTTTGCATAGCTTTGTACAGGAGGAATCTCCATAGTGGTCAAACTGGTCCAGAAGGCAGGCAAGCAGTGGGCACCCGATCAAGGCAGATGAAGCAACAGCATCAGACTGCACAGGATGGGCAGTTGTTCGGCTCAGCAAAAAAACACAGAGACATTTAGTTCTGTTGAGAGAGACTGATTACAGCACACAGTGTTAACAGAGTGTAGCAGTGACTCCAGTCTACCCTACACACAGGTACCATCAAATATAAGGTTTGCTCAGTTTTTAAATTTCTAATAAACTTGCTTATGCTAGTAATGGACAAGCTATGTTGCTTTCCAGTGGCACTATGCTGTGGGTAACCACAGACTAGGCTATAAGTAATGGAATAATGATTTTTGTTATGTTCCTGACAGTGATGAATTTGATTTTATTTGTATTTACTTATTTTGTGAGGTCCTGAGTTTGGATACAAATTTCTGAAAGCATTTGTCTGGTATGCAGCACCTATTCTTTCCCCAAAATCTCTTTTTTGTAATCTTTTATAATCAGCCTTTTGCTAGGCTAGCAGTTGCTATTATATTGGGGCTGCTTTATGCGGGTAGCTTGATGGCAAGCATCTTGAAAAAAATAGATTTTTGAAGGGTGTGGTACAGTTAGAGAAATGAAAGAAGGTGATGAACAGTCAAAGCTTTTGAAACTCCAAAAGAAAGATATCTACTAATGAATTTTTCCTCCGTTTTCATGATTCTGTATACTTATTTTACCTCAACTCCCTTTTTCTTTCCATTTTCCTCCCATTTATCACTGTTCTGTCTTTTTTGATTAAGGTGTGTGTCTGGTGCTGGGCTGCATGATCTACCCTGATGGTTGGGATTCGGATGAAGTGAGACGGCTGTGTGGAGAGCAAACAGGCAAATATACCATAGGCGCCTGCTCTGTTCGCTGGGCCTACATCCTAGCCATCATGGGCATTCTGGACGCACTCATCCTCTCGTTCTTGGCATTTGTGCTGGGCAACAGGCAGGATGGGCTGATGGCTGAAAAACTTCTGGCTGAGAGCAAGGGTAAGAATCATTGCATATAGAAACATTATAATCTAGCATTAGAAACACCACATACATACTAGAGTGAAGACACACACTAATGGGCAGTGAGCACACTTGCCTGGAGCGGTGGGCAGCCCTGTCCGTAGCACCCGGGGAGCAGTTGGGGGTTGGGTGCCTTTCTCAAGCGCTCCTCAGCCACATACCTGTCAGCCCACGACTGCCCCATGTGTATATGTGTGTTTGTTCCTAATACAATATATACTCCGGAAATATTGGCACCCTTGCAGAATATAAATAATATACATTTATACAGAAATACAAATAAAACCAAAGGGATGTTTGTCTTTGGGGAAAAAAAAAAATGTTTATTAATATGGCTTTTAGTGTGTCCAGGATCTTTATTGTTGTCTATGACCACTTCCTGTTTCACCAAGGTATATGAGGTAACACACAGGTAAAATCCCTTTGTCATCCATCAAAATGAGTAAAACCCAAGAGCTCTTAGCTCAAATGAGAAAAAGTTGTTGAGCTGCATAGATTGGGCAATGGCTACAAAAAAAAATAGGTCAGCAGTTGATATTGTCAGTAAGCACAATGAGGGCTATAGTAAAGAAGTTTCAAAAAACTCTGAACAGTTGAAAGGAGACATATTAGACGCATATTGCAGCCACGCACAGTGAGAAGGATGCTAAACCAGTCAAAGAGAAGCCCAAAAATCATAGTTTCACAACTGCAAAGTTTAGTTGTATCTTGGGGTTTCACCATTTCAATTTCAACAGTGAGATGCCACCTCCATGACCAGGAGCTTTTTGGATTGATTCAATGAAAGAAGCCCTTCCTGAGACCAAGACACAAATCCTAGCATATGAACTTTGCCAAGCAACACTGGACTTACAACAGGAATTGTGTGTTATAGTCAAATGAGACAAAAATTGAGCTTTCTGGCCATGCACACCACTGTCATGTTTGGCAAAAAAAGAGAGAGTGATTAAGAATAGTACCTCGTACCCACAGAAAAATATGGTGGTGTCTCTTAGATGCTTTGGGGCTGTTTTGCTGCTAGTAGTCCAGGGGCTCTTGTTAAAGTCAGTGGCATAATAAATTCCATTCAATACCAGAACATTTTAGCTGAAAATCTGGTTGCCTCTGCCAGAGGGCTGAAACTGGGCCATGCTTGGTTTTGCAATGGCCATCTCAGTGTCCAGACTTGAACCCAATTGAAAATCTGTTGTCTTAACTGAAGAGGGCAGTTCACAAGAGAAATCCCAAGAATGTCAATGAGTTGGAAATGTTCTGCATGGAAGATTGGTCCAAGACCCCATCACAAGTGTTCTCCAACCTTAATAAACACTACAGAAAGAGGCGGAGTGCTGTGATATTTATGGAAACTGAATTTTTATGAAAATTTGTGTTACTAAAGGAAACTTTTTTGTTCCAGAAAAAATTTACACAATAAACACATGAGGCCCATAGCCATTTGTTTAGTATCACTTATTGTGTGTGTGTTTCTTCATATATTATGTTCTTATATTAATTTAGCTCATTTTCAAGAAGGGTGGCAATATTTCTGTATATATATATATATATATATATATATATATATGATGTAATATTACAAACCCAATTCCAGAAATGTTGGGACTATGTGTAATGGTAATAAAAACAGATAGCGGTGATTTGTAAATTCTGTTTGACTTGTGTTACATATTGTTAAATATTGTTACAAAACAATATTTTGTTCTACCTTATGATCTGAATTGTTTTTTGTAAATATACGCTGATTCTAAATTTGATGCCTGCAGCATGTTCCAAAAAATGTTCCTAATTTTAAATTGCCTCATCCGAACTTTTTTGGGAATGTGTTGCTTTCTGTATTTATTTGCATTTTACCTTCTGTCCCGTTTTTTTTGTGGAATTGAGTTTGTATGTTATATAATTGTTCATTGGATGATTTCATTTGACCCTTTATTCCTCACAGCCCAAGCTTCAAACAGCCTTGTACACATAAGTATTTCTGTACTTTCATTTTGAAAAAAGATAAAATGTCTCCATCTTTGGATATATTTCATTTATAAAGATGGTAGATGTAAACAGTTTACATGTTACATGTGTTTTGTGTTTGTAGTCCTGAGAAATGGAGGAATAAGTTTGCAAAACTAACTTTACACCAGAATGTTTTTATGGTCAAAAGAAGTCACCAACCCTCCACCTGGAGATGTTCCTGCAGGTTTCAACTCCAACCCTAAATCTAACAGACCTCATTCCGCTCATCAAGAACATTTGAAGGCAATGATTAGATGGATCAGGTTTGGTTGATCAGGGTTGGAGCTAAAGTCTGCAAGAAGACAGATCTCCAGGAGCAGGGCTGGTGACCGGTTGTCAAAGGAAAGATAAGAAATGTAGTCATTTACACAAAATTTGCATTTAGTGGATGCTGGTGATTTTATTCACAATGATTTTAAAGGTCTTTTATCTGTCTTTATTTAAGCTTTTTTTGAAAAGTAGATTTCCATTTAAAAACTGACCGCCTTAAGATTGGTGTGAAGATTTCTTTTTTTGCACTTAAAGGCTTACATTCCTTTCTCTCTCTCTCTCTCTCTCTCTCTCTCTCTCTTTGACAGAAGGTGGAACTGCCTAAAAAAAGTGAGTAGTAAAAATTCATACTTAAAACAATTTTCCAGTTATTCATTGCTAAACGAGAACAGCAATTATAACTGCAAACATTTCTTACTCCTTTCTGCTTGTCTTTTTACCCTCATAGTGTAGTAGGAAGATCATCTTTCATCTTTGCAGAAGAAAAAAGGATGGAAGGCCTGCAAATCAAGGATCCTCCCATCGTCCATCAAGTGCCCGTTACCCCTTAAGACATTGGGCCTCATTCACTAACCATTCTTTAAAAGAAATTTCTTCTTATAACCCACTTATGCAGTTTTATGACATTCACCAAGGTTTTTTTTATTTGGGATTTGTTCTTAGGTAAGTACAGAATCTACAACACTCAAGAGCATAAAGGTGCAGTCACCATGCCATGAACCTGACGTAGACTTCTTGAGGACCATCCTGAAGAACAATTTAAATAAAAAACTTATGAAGATATTGGTGAATGAGGCCCATTGTATCTACATATTTCAGACCTCTAAGAACCCTTATTCATCTATTCATTTAGCACAAGTCTATGATAATACTGACTGGAGAAAGTTTTGGAGGACCAGGAAAGAAAAGAGGGAAACATTTTATTTTTCCTTATTTGGTGACCAGAGAAAACATATATGTAGGTGATAACACACACCAAAATGTACTGAGCTTTTTAACTTTTTCATTGTGTACATTAATAGACAGTGTTCACACAGCCAAAAATACATATTAACATGCATTTGTATTTGAATGGTTCACTCTGTATCTACCTGATGGCCTCTTAACCTAGATACCCAGTCAAACACTGTGACATTATAAGGTAATTCATAAGATTAAGTATAAAAAGAATTACAACAATGCACAGGTTTTTCTTTTCGTTTAGTGTAGTACTGTTTTACTAAATGTTTTGTATTATGGTATAAACAAACCTTAGTAGTAATCACTTGGATTCAAACGTTTGACAATCCTTATTTTTAAAAAATCATTTGCCTACACTCTCAAAAGTGATGGTTCTTCAAGGGTTGTTTAGTAAAGAAAATGGTTTGAACACTTAAAGAATGCTTGCATGATTAAAGGGTTCTTCAGATTGATGAATGTGCTGTAGATGGTTCTGTATATAACCTTTTTTGAAAGGGGTTCTATATAGCACAAAAGAGTTATTCTATTGTTACAAGGTCAAGTTTGAAACAATAGAAGAACCATTTTTTATGCTATATAGGATCCCTTTCAAAAAGGTTTTATATTGAACCATCTACAGCATATTCTGCATCAATCTGAAGAACTCTTTCACTTAATCATGCAAAGGGTTCCTTGAGTGTTCATGGTTCTATATTGAACCAATTTCGTTACTAAAGAACTCTTGAAGAAACATCATTAAGTGTGTATTTATCCACTAACCATTTTAGTGTATTAAAGTTGCCAATGTTAGCAAGCACCCACAAGTATAATATTTGTTTTGTCTATTTTATTTCTGTTTAAGACTATATATGTACATTATCTGCTTGTCATTTTGCAGATACGATGTAAAAAAAAAAGAAATAGCTTTTTTAATTCAAACAGATAATAGATATCATTGCAATTATATTTCACTGTGAAATAAGTATTAACGTTTTAATGATATATATGGGAAGAAGTAGTTCTCTGAAGATGCTAATACAGGTAAGCTAACAGAAAGGTTAAGATTTACTTTTAGAAGTGTGTGATATGTATAGTGTCTACAATGTTATAATAAAGAGAGGCTTTTGGTAATACAGGAAAACTAATGCATAGTTTTCAAAATGTGAGCTTTAGCCATTTGCCAGCAAACTTGAACCAAAAGCCAAGAGTGTAGAGAGTCAGTTTTGTGAATCAATGCACCAGCCTAATCTTACTGACCAAATGAGTCTTTACATATTGGGAATTAGATTAGGACTTGAAAATCTTTTATCTGTCTGTGGTTGGATAACATTTGTTGTTAATGCACAACACTGTACATAAATCACTGATATGTCAAAGTGTGTAACTCTTATTAGAGGAAAGAAAAGATCATGCAGTTCAATAAAGGTTTTTATTCTGTACCCTCACTCAAACTGGCCTAACTGTCGTTTGCATGCATGCCAATATCACATACTGTGGCTCTAATAACTTTGAAAACTCTTTTTTTATCCAAAAACTTGGAACACAAATTAAATAGATACATTTTCTCTGTGTATTCCTTTCAATTCCAGGAAATTCTTAAACAGTTGTAGTCATCACTCGAAAAATAGTTAACCACAGTAAACTGAGTATTAACCAGTCAGTCAGTCTCAAAATTACAAGGGAAGCTGCTTTACTTCCAAATATATTAAATCAATCCTTCAGAGCCAGATTAGGTGTCCCCTTTGGTAGTAGCTGAATCGACTACAGTGACTGCTGAAGTGTAGAAATGCAGAAAAACAACTTTGGCTATATGTATCTTGAAGTTTCTCTATCCACTTCACCGAATTCTCCAGGAATCACCGTCCATTTGATCTATGGTAATAAAAACGAATGCATGTGTCTGCACATCTTGTCACCTCTTCAGGACGTGTTAGGTTTTGCATGCAGTTTATCCATCCCAAATGCAAAATTTACAGTGAAAATACAAACCTCAATCTCAGGCCTGTGTGACTAGTGCTCAGTGCTCTATCTTAAACTAATAACAACATATAGACAATAATTTCCCGTATATACATGTACAGTAACATGCAGAATAAAAATCAACTGGACCAAAAACACGGTTATTGCAGGAGACTAGGATCTTGAAGGAATGGGTCTGCCAAAAACAAAACATGCACAATTTTCCTTTTACCCCAAATCTTTAGCTTTGCACTACAGGTCCAGGTTCTACAGGCTAATCTAACCCACAAGTGAAGGAAGCTTATATGCATTCCCAAATCACCACACACTTACCTTAAATTGTGCAGAGATTTGCGAGTTCATGAGGACTTTTCAAACACACCATTACTTACTTGGGGGTGGGGGAGTACTCTTTATGGACATTGAATGTCTGAAGAGTTTGTCAATCAGTGCTCAGGCTACTCCTACCTCCATTCCCACCAGGCCCCCACTGTTGTTCCATAATGTGCCCTGAGAATTTTTTTTGGCCTGTAGTCATCTCTATAACCTAACACAACTTGTACCACTATTAAGTAGGTTCATGAGTTCATGGGTTCATGTACCAACCATGAAAACAATCCACATTATTGTATATCTGTATTTTTCCCATCCTGTTACTGTTATTATGTCCACACTGTTATATACAATTTTTTTTCTATAATTTAATGAAATCAGTAAAAATTATTCATATTTTACTAAATAATAAATAAAATCAGGTGTGTATCCGTAAAGAAATAAACTAAATATTTTTTATTTACCATTTTTACTGAAACAAAATTGCGAAAAGTACTATATTTGAAAAATCAGTTATAAGTAAAAAAAAAATAAAAAAAAACAGAGAAAAAGGACATATCCTTTAGATAATATCTGTGTTGCACAGAAGTGTAAATCATAACCCTAACTTATTTATATGCCGTTTAAAGAAAGAACATTCTCTGTCAGTCACTTCAAGCTATAATAATCCGACAATTAATGTGCTCTGTTGGATTCAGATGCAGTGACTGGATAGGCCAACTCAGTTTGAGGTGACCTTTGCTTTGTAACATTATCATGCTAGAAATTTCCGTTAGAAGATGTTAGAAGTTAGAAGAAAACATTCCCTACACCATTACACCACCTCCACCAGTCTGGACTGTTGACACAAGGCAGGTTGGATCCATGGATACATGCTGCCAGTGCCAAATTTTGACCCTACCATCTGTGTGCCTCAGCAGAAATTGAGATTCATCAGATCAGACTTGGTTTTTTCTAGACTTCAACTGTCCAGTTTTAGTGAACTTGTGCCCACTGCAGCCTAAGCTTTCTGTTCTTGGCTGACAGAATTTGAACCTAACATGATCTTCTGCTGTTGTAGCTCATCCACCTCAAGGTTCAGCACATGTATTCTGAGCTGCTTTTCTGCTCACCAAAATTGCACAGAGTGGTGAGTTCTGTCAGCTCCAACCACTCTGGCCATTCTTTGTTGACCTCTCTTATCAAAAAGGCATTTGCATCCACAGAACTGTTGCTCAATGGATGTCAACATTACAAAAATCAGTATGTGTTGTTCTTCGATAACCAATGTGTTATTTGCTGTGTACAAGATCTGATAGAACAGATCTTGTACAGAGCTCTTCTCATCCATGCTTGCACCACAAATAAAAGAGTTGAGAAATAATTACCCAGTTAACCACAAATTCATAATGTCTTAACTTTATTTCTGTCTTAAAGGAAGTAGACATTTGTTCCATTTATGAAATACACCTGACAAAGTAGAGGCAAGGTAGTGTGTGGCACTGGTACAAATGTATCAAGAACAGCGGTGTTGTTGGGGTTTTTACACTGTACATTTATAGGCCAATTTATTAAATACATTTACTGTAGAGTATTGGGTATCCATAAAATAGGGTTATTAATGGCTGCTTGGTGTACTAGTAATACCTAGTGTTGTTCTGGAATTGCTTTTGCTGTATACTCCAGCAGCACTGCTGTGTCTGATACACTCAGACCAGCGCAACACACACTAAAACACCACCACCACATCAGAGTTACTGCAGTGCTGAGAATGATCCACCACCCAAATAGTACCTGCTCTGTGAGGGTCCATGGGGGTCCTGACCACTGAAGAACAGGGTAAAAGGGGGCTAACAAAGTATGCAGAGAAACAGATGGACTACAGTCTGTAATTGTAGAACTACAAAGTGCACCTATATAGTAAGTGGAGCTGATAAAATGGACAGTGAGCATAGAAACAAGGAGGTGGTCATAATGTTATGCCTGATCAGTGTATAGTTCTCTATAGAAAAGAATGCATCGCATTCATGTTATTTGAAAACGTACCTTTTTCATTTGCCTTGTAGGTGTACAGTCAGAAATTACAGCTCATCTTTTTGTCTGCAACATTTGTGTTAGTCATTCTTTAGCCCTTCATCAGTAGTCAATATTTTTGCCTGTCAACACTATTCTTATCCAAGCAGTGACTAAGGTGTACAAAATCCCCAGCAACAGTGCTGTTTCTGATGCACATGCCAGTGCTACACACATCACTGTCACTGCTGTGCTGAGCACCCAAGTAATATGTGGTCAGCAGTGGTCCCTTTCCATTGCTGGGCGAGGAACTGATAAAATGGCCAGTGAGCATAGGTACAAGGTGTAAATCAGTATAGTTTGGCAGCCTTTTGTGCATCACATAAAATTATTTTTCATACATGTTGCTTGATAAGTGGTTACAGGACATTGTATTGTATTTTCATACAAACACAGAAAGTAAGCAAACAGCTTGCTAACAGAAAAGTCCATAGTGGGCTGCGTAATGCTGGTTTAAAAAGTGTTTAGAGACATTCAGTGGCAACTTTGATTATGGCGCGAAAAAGGTTACAGGGTTTTGCTCCCTTCATAGTGTTTATTCATAGTTGCTAATAATCTTTTGGATTAGATGAGATTAATTTACAAAAATTACCTTTACCTTTTTGAAAAGTTCTGTGCAGTCCCCACATATGCGATTGCAGCTCAAACGAAATTTCTGTAAAGCCACTATTTATTGGTTGAAAACATTATTCCTCCTGATTTTTCTTCTTTTAAGGTCTCCTGGTTATCCCCAGTAAAATGTTTGGCCAACCTAAACATAAAAATCACCTTGACTGCATCCAAGCTACACAAAGTATATATCATGTACATATCATAATGAATTAATTAGTGTACAGTGACCTAATGAATTTATTGCTAAACCAACATACTATTTAGAATGGTAGTACGGTTCTAGACAAGGCCCTTTTATTTCAGCTTGCAGATGATGATGCAATCTGACTAGCAGTTCGGTAGGCAAGTGCCTCACTACATCACAAATAATCTATATTTTGAATAATAGCGTCAGAGCAGACAGTCAGAGCAGACCGTCAGGCACCACTGCTAAGCTGTTTTGTTTTTAGCCTAGCTTTTAGCCTTTTTT